ATGTGAAGGACCTTGCTAAAGGTAAAATCTTTAGCTTCTCCGTTCACCCTTTTGTTTCTCCTTGGATTGATATGTTCAAACCAGAAAAGCAGTAGTTTGGTCTAATATTGTGATAGACAGGATGAGGAGCCCTGAGTAAAGATCAGCACTTTATGCCCATTACCATAATGATCTTTGGCATCTTGACTGCTGTTACTGTCTAATTGGCTCTAGTCTCTCCCACTTATTGTGAGTTTTGAAATAGGACAACGTACAAATGGTTATAGTTGTAGGTAAGTTACGCACTAAATGTTGAACATGTTGATGCTGAATGTGTAATTTATCTCTTGCAGGGGATATCTTGACAACATAACAGCAATTGGGCCCAGAACAGTTGGAAGTCCAGAAAATGAAGTTCTTGCAGTTAACTACCTCTTAGAACAAATTAGGGCAATAGAAAGAGAAAGCACAGATGCTCACAAGTTATCTGTAGACATACAGAGGCCTACAGGCTCCTTCAGCATTGACTTTTTAGGAGGCTTTACTAGTTACTATGCAAACATAACCAATGTCGTAGTGAAGCTGGAACCCCGAAATGGAGCTGAGCATGCAGTGTTGTCCAATTGTCACTTTGATTCCGTACCAAATACCCCGGGTAGGTCCACATGTTCATTCTGCGTTTCTATATATTATATGAGCCATAAAGCTTGGCTCGCTGTCTTCTCATATCAAGTAGCCTTATAGCCACATGCTAGAATGCTGCATGTGTCAACTAGTCTGCTTGACTTCAGTGAGATTCAGTATTTAGTGTGACAGGTTGGTCCTATTAAAGTCAGGATTTCACTCTCACTTTCTTGTAGGCAGCAACTTATGGATACTATATTTAGATTTCTAGAAAGTGGGGTTATATCTGCCTGTCTTGTAATTTGCTGCTTATGCATGTGGTTCATGTGCTGCTTCGTCCTGTTGTTCAGGTCTTTCCATACTTCTGTACTTTCCTTTCACAGGATGCTTTGTGCCAGAGACTGTTTGCACCCCCACTAACCAGTCTGTGTTTTCCCCTCCCTTTGTTGGTGTCGTACTTTATCTCAAATTTTTAGTGTAATATCCTTAAGCTATGCCTCTTTCTTTTTTTTTTTTTTTTTCCCCCTTTCAGCATTCAAAGCTTCTGTCTCAAAAGACTGTAGCAATAAAAGATTAAGGTACTGTTGCCTTGGTAGCGTGTACATCTCTCTCATTGCTACTTTCACTGTCACTGTTGCATACTCTCTTATTCTTGTCCTTCTGCATTTTTATAAATATAATCATGTTAAATAATTATTGCAGCAAGGGTGTAAACAGCTTTCTTAAATACATGGTTTTAACAGTGCCAGGAAGGTAGGGAACTGAAAACTGCACAAAAGTATTTGTTGTAACACTCAGCCACAGGTGTGTGTCTGTTCCTGCAGTTGAAAAGTACTTACAGATTTCAGTCACCAACAGCACGGCTTCTAGTGAAGTTTCTTCATTTACACCCCACACAATACCTTATTTTTGGGGGGTAAGCCTTCTGTTCTTTAGCATGTGCAAATAGTCTTCATTATTGAAAATTGGCTAGAGAAACAAAGCACTTGCTGTACTCTTTGTGCCTTTTTTCTTTCATCAAATAGTATACAGAGCTTCTTTTTCTCCTCAGTCGTATTTAGGCAAGATGAGTTTCCAAAATTAAGCCTAAGTGCATGATTATTATATGTGCTTTGTGATTTAGCAACTGCAGAAGTGCTAATTACTGTATCTATAGTCTAAATACGGCTGCCTAGACATAGAAAGAATACTTCACAAGCATAATACAGTGATTATTGAAAACTGTCTTTAAATTGATTCCCTATGTAAATTGTGTGTCCCCTTCTCTGGGTTGTAATGCAAGATTATGTCTGCATCAAATGCTTTCTTTACAGTTACTCATAATATTTCACCAACCTTGCACAGAGGTGCCAAAAAATATTAGTGATTTGTATGGGGTTGTAAAGAAATCTGTGGAGGAGCTAGAAATCAGCCTGTATGCTTGCCCTTAATCACAAAGTAGCCTAGCCCTTTGCCACAAGAGTGAGGAGCTGCTTTTTCCTTTTCTTAGTGTGAAACTTGCACATAACCTAAGCACAAACTTTTTGTTTTCTATTCTCCTGTATTTCTGCAAGTTGCTTGCTTACAGCTTTTTTTTCATTACCAAGAAGGTGTTATTTAACCATAAGCAGCAGGACTCTGTGATCAATGAGTTAATATATTTGAAAATCAGATAATAAAACATATTCTGCTGTTGATGCTTATGCGTAAAAGATGACTAAACCATTAGAACTTCAGTTCAAGAAAGCCTGAGTTCCTTATGAAAGAGAAACATCAGCTGTAAACTCCTAAAACATGTCTCTTGTTCTGATGGTACTAATGTTCCGTTTATGTGGCCTATTTGATTCTTTTCTAATAAACTTGAAGGCAGAAACATCCTTGAAATTATCACAGGGACCTGATAACATGGTTTTCTTAGGTTACTGATATTTGCCAAAAAAACTGTTAACCTCTGGTCAGTTTTGCTGTGTATGAAGTATTTGAGGATGATACTTTCTTTGTGAGCTTGTGTCATTGTCTATAGCTACATGGCTGCTTTAATAACATGTAAATCTATGTCTGTTGAAACCAGTAACTTCTGGTTTTCTTAGCTTCAGAGCAAGGCAGAGAAGTGATTAATCTTGCTGAAAACTGTAATCACTCATTACTTTTCAGCACAGCATAAGTTAGATAAAAGAACGCAGTGTGGCTAAGAGTAGGCTACTGATAAATTTGGGTATCAATATAATCAGGGCTTTAAATCAAATAGTTTGGGGGGGCTTTTTGGAAAGCTTTTAGCAGAACAAGGCATTAATTTCTGAGAAATAGGTTACAGAAGAGTGTACTGGAAAGATTTTGGGATTTTTTTTTTTATTTATTTATTCTCATTGCAGGGGAAGTTGGACTAGATGACCTTTAAATGTCCATGCCAACCCAGACTACTCTATGGTTCTAAAGTACTTCCATAGACTAAGCTAAGCTTAAAATTTAGACTGAGATTTGTGTTTGTCTCAGGACTGTGCTCTTTTCATGGGTGGGGCAGGTATGTCTAAATTTTGCCAAATTACAAGCTTTAGAAAAGCTGCTTTTTCGATGTGTAAATTAAAAACTTTTAGCAGCTAATGAGTCTGCCCTAATAGCATACTGAGACCTGACCACACTGCCATTGTCATCTCAATGTGCGTTGACATCATATATGCAACCCAGGCCTGAAGGGATGAGGTTAAATTTCTCTGTTTGTTCCCAAATTTTATTGATTAGAGTAGGGAGATGCTACAGCTTGCACCGAACTGAGGGAAATGGGGCAATGGGAGACCTTGGCTAAAAGATGGATGTTTAATCAAGATGAAAAAGCTGGCAGGGCATGGGAGGAGGTGTGGAGAAGTGAGACTAAGTCTAGAATAGTGTTGGGTGAGGAACTCAAAGACAACAGACTGCTGAGCTCAGAGCAAAACGTGTTTTCTGCAAATAAGAATGGTGGAAGGATGGTGGAAAGCACCTGATCATGAAAATACTGTATTATAATGTATACTTTAATTTTAAGAATATTTTAAAGGTGTGAATTCTGGTGTTTCCTTGTTGACTGAGGTAGCATAGGCTTCTTTATTCTCTGGTCTTTGTTGCAATTCTGTGCGTTTGTTGTAAGCCGTACTATTCTGCTGATTATTTTAAGGTGCCAGTGATGATGCTGTTAGCTGCGCAGTGATGCTTGAAATACTTAGCACACTTTCAAAATCATCAGAGCCCCTGCAGCATGCTGTGATATTCTTATTTAATGGTGCAGAAGAAAATATTTTGCAGGTGAGAATGAGCCAGAATTATAAAATATACATCAAAGCTCTGTATTAAGACTGACAAAGGAAAGCATAACTGCAGATACGGCTTGTATTTCATCTGTTGAAATATTAGTGAAATGTCAGTCTTAACATTCTGAGGAAAATGTATTTGATTTCGAAGGGAAAAATATACTTAGATTAAGAATATTGTCCATATTAATTTAATTAGAAGACTTGCATTTTCTGCATTTGTTTGTGTTGTAAGTGATCTGGCTGCCTTCTCCAATCTTGAGTTATGATCATACATGATGGAAAATAACATTTAGGCTGGACTGGAAGATATTTGACCTATTTTTTTTTCTCGTTGTTTTCCCATCAAGGCTAGTCACGGCTTCATTACACAACATGAGTGGGCCAAGTCAATTAGAGCTTTTATTAACCTGGAGGCAGCAGGTGTAGGAGGAAAAGAACTTGTTTTTCAAACAGGTATGAGCTTGCATTGTGTCCAGTTTCTACTCTAGGATAATTTGATAATAAACAATTTAGACTTGAAGGAGTATTGAAACTGACTCCTAAGCAAAAGTCAGGAGAACCTCTGTGCCTCTTTCCCAACCCTGTGCAGCACGTAAGTTGCTCTTTATCTTTAGAAACATGTAGGCTAAAGCGCTGCCACAGAATCTGCCTCATAGGTGGGAAGCCTGTATAGAACTGAATCACAGAAGTTATATTTCCCTTTTACATCAAGGTAATAAGGAGAAAAACAGATTTGGATATCTCATATATCTTGCATACTCATATGCTTTATTTAATTTTCACAGCAGTTCAAAATCTTTGCAGGGACATGTTGGCATTAGAACTCCATCTGCTGCTCAGGAAGCAGCAAAACTTCTGTGTTGTAGACTACAGTTAAACTTCTGCTCCATCCTAGTCGGACTGCAGATTTCTTTATACTCCTGGACCTGCTTAGTTGCTTACTTGCATTGAACGCTTAGGAGAGAGGAGTCTCTCCACTAAGGAGAGACTTTTATCTAAACAACAATTTTGAGGTGTGATACATAAATGATAAATTGGAAACCATGCTGAAGGTTGTGACTTCTTCAGTACTGATGGGTCTTTTTGGGGAGATGGCTTATCTGCTCTCCCACTGAACACTCAAGTCATGTGTTGCTTGGTGGTGGTTTTTTTTTTGTTTTTTTTTTCCACAAGCATAACTAATTCTTTTTCTGAAGTGTGAGTCATTCAGCCAACACAAATGCACTTAGTATATAGCTTGTGGGGCAACAGCATTAAAACTCTAGTGAGTTCCTTTGCATTATTTATTTGTTATGATAAAGATGCATATCCTAACTGAAGTTCAAAAAGTGTTTGTTGTGAACTTTCTGCTCATATTTTGTTAGGACCTGAGAATCCTTGGTTGGTACAAGCGTATGTAGTTGCAGCCAAACATCCCTTTGCGTCTGTGGTGGCACAGGAAATATTTCAGAGTGGTATTATCCCAGCAGATACAGACTTCCGTATCTACAGGGACTTTGGCAATGTTCCAGGTATGTTACCAGAAGAGATGTCAATGCACATTATGCAATAATTTATCTTAAGTTTATAAAGCGGAGAATGTTCTGCAGTTCACTCTGTGAAGGTCCTCAAATTTGGTTTGTCTTTCAGTTTGGGAGCAAATTGTCCTGCTTTTTTTTTTTGAAGGCAAGAGTCTTTAGATTTGGTTTGTCGGGTAGGTTGTTATGGATGTTTTTTGGAGACTGCTGTTTTCCAGCAGAAGAGACTGCATGGTAAAGCTTCCTGAAAATGAGGAAAACACTCCAGGAATTAAATAATTCTGATTTGAAACATTTTGGTAATGATGCTAATAACCTGGTTGCAGGGATTAAATGTCTGTACCTAATGGATAAACCAAAATAATCTTTTTTTAAGACAGCGACTTAGTAATTAATGCATTTTCATTATTTTTTTTTTTCATAATCAAGCACAGGGCAGCAGATTTTTTGTTTTGCTAATCTGTGTACAGTTTGCTGTCCATTCTGCAGAGAATGACCAGTGGGAAGACATGTGAAACACGCAATGCAAACACAACTCAAAGGAATCTAAACCTCTGTAAAATCCTTGCTGTCTGGCACAGGTTGTCATTGGAGTCATTTTCAAGAAAAGCAATATTTCTGAATTGATTCTTAGAACAAAACGTGTTGTCATATTCTGAACTGTTCCAAAGTACGCTTCTGGCCTGAAAATAAAGTAGCTGATTTTGCACAACGAGTTCTTTATTTGTTCAGAATCATACCTGGGTGATAAATGGTAAATAAATTCTCATTGACCTCTGTTTTTTCTAAACAAATAGAAATGAAGTAATTGATTTAAAGAACTAGTTTGTTCCTCATTGTCTGCTGATAGAATTGAGGTCTGATTTGTGAACCCTCTGCAAAATTGTGAGGATTCAGATTACAGACAGCAGCTTTGTGCTTGTGCAGCTGAGGCAGTGTGTGTTTGGCATACATTGAATGTGCAATTAATTTTGCAGAAAACCTTTTTTAAAAATATATTTTGTTTATTTTTACAAATTATTTTGACCTTTATATTAAGAGTTTAAGAGTTTTCAGATTGACTATTGGAAAAGCTGTTTACAAATTAGAAGTAAAAAGAACACACCTGGTATTTTGAGGAGTTTCTGTAGTTTCACAGTGCTGCTTTTTATTACTTTTCAGCATGGATCTCTGTTGATGTTTTTACTAGTAAAATGTTTGGAAACCACCTCGTACATCTTTTCTGAAGATGAGATGATTAAGAACTTTCATGTGTTTCTCCAGTAGAGATCAGTTTGTACAGATGTGATGCAAATCAATACACTAGAAAAGACAGATATTTTGAAATGTTTTAAGTGTTCTTTTTTTAAATACACATGGAATCTCAGTTAGTCTTCCTTCTACAACGCAAACTATTTTGTTCATATTTATGGATAGTGAGTGGGCTACAAAGTAGAGCAAAGTTTTGTGTGAAATATATCAGAGGCTTTCACTTATTTGTTTTGTGGTTTTAAGTTTACATGATTTCAAACATGCTTTTTCTCTCTCTGTAGGAATAGATTTGGCTTTTATTGAAAATGGCTACATTTATCATACGGAATATGACACATCAGACAGAATTTTAACAGATTCCATTCAGAGAGCAGGTTGGTGTTTCAAGAATTCGGTAATTTAATAACGAGTAGTGTTGTAGCTGCTTTTTCATTTTGCTGTTAAGACTACCATCATAAGAAATTCATAATTTTAATTACAAATTTAGAACATGGTAGACATGTTCTAAAGAACAAAGAATTAACTGAATGCATGTCTTTAAAATACAAACAAAATATGTTTGGTCGACTTGGGAAGATAAGCTTTGTGAGTATCCAGTGATGTTGATTTGGAAGTAACTGTGGAATCTAATTAAGGTTATAATCTAGCCATTTATACCTGATCGTTCAGCATTCTGCGTTCCTTTTCTCTCAGTAAGTCCCCGTACTTATTAATGTTCATAATGAGAAGCTTATGGTTAAATTGGTGGCATAAAGACTGAGCTGCCAACAAAGGATTTTCTTTTAGAATGGATCTCACTTAAACTTATGTGGTAGCGTGCAGACTGGATAAACAGGATTTATTTGCTACTAACAGTTTGTGCCCATAGCAGGCTATTTGACAGGCTGCAGTAACGCAAATTACAGTAAGACCTTTAGTTTCCCAGGAAAAACTGTCATAGTCCTAAATGCCTCCAGGATTTTGATCATTTCCCTCTTCAAGTTCATACAGAAGCCAACTTAGATGACCAGCACAAATAAGAGTTTGAAACACTTTTACACCAATGGAGTTGCAAGACAGAATGTCACACTTCTAAATTATGTTGGAAAGATGATTTTACTGGTCATGGTGGTTACCTAGAGCATCTCTTGCTAAATGTATCACAGCTAAAAAAAATATAAAGACAAACTTTTCAGCCAGTAAGCACTTTTACAGGTCAAGTAAAAGCAAAATGGAAGTTGAGAACAATTGTTCTCACTAGATTACATGTGTTTTGGCTGTACTGTGGGAAAGGCTACAAAGGAAAATGGCCTCCTTGTCCCCTACTTACAGTCATCTAGGGAAA